GCAGATTCCCGAGTGTGGTATGCAAACATGTTGCCTTCAGAAAGAAAAGTGGCTCAACATTGTTACGCCTGTCCGCAATGGAGAACTGAGTGGGCACGACGAACACTATGGTAAACGTTCACACATACCCCAAGGTGCTACAAGTGCCCTGGCAATGATGGCATCAGCCTAGAGGGGATGTGCTGCATGCAACTTAGGATTGCCAGGGTTCCCTGCAGAGGCAGAACATTTTCACAAAAGCACATGTGACTAGCAATATGGACGTTAACCCTGTATTCACAAACCTAACTTAAACTGATCCTTATTACTTAAGTCAACCTTAGCCATAAGTTCGGTCTTAACGTGTTTTATAAACCTACCTTGTACTTATTGCAGAACTTTCCTCATAGTAAATTTTCGTCTCAACTCGGTATATGGTTCGGACCAGGTTCTTAGTGGTGGAGCAAAGCAGAGTCTGTTGCTTCGCGAGGATGATCGCCACCGTCTTCGTGACTTTTCCCTGGAGAAAGACGCCTTAACTGCTGGATGTTTTACTTACACTACTTTATTTACAGAACTGATTACTATGCAGAAATGACAGCAAAGACTATGACCCACAGTTGGGCCTAAAGCGGTATTGCGGGGGTCCAGCCGGCAAGCTCTCCTAGTAGAAAAGGCCTCTAGTCTTTTTCCGGGCGCTCCTTGTATCTCCCCGTCCTCGTTGCCCGTGGCCCTTGTTGACACCGGACAGGCAGTTTCATGGGAGGAGCTGGGGAGACAGAGTAAGCTGGGGCGCCATTTCTCTGGAATGCGTGTGGCAAGCAAGGAAGGGGGTGCCACGCCGAGCCGGCTCCGTTTCTCGGGAAGGCGTGTTACCAAGAAGGAGGGGGGCGAGGGATGTCACGTCAAGCGCGACTTTACACTCGTGCTTAAGTAATGCTCGGTTAAGGTAGCCTATAAGACAGAAGGTTAGGTGGGCAGATGAGATTAAGAAGTTTGCGGGTATAAATTGGCAGCAGCAAGCACAGGACCGGGTTAACTAGCAGAACATGGGAGAGGCCTTTGTCCTGCAGGGGACCTAGTCAGGCTGATGATGAACTACCTTAAGGCTTTCTTAAACAACGTGGTGGGAGAACACTTCGCATATCCCGTTGATTATGTGAATATTGTACCGCACAACATGCACATACACATCACTGCCACGGTGAGTCCTTAACGATCAACGGCACCTTGTCGAGACCTATGACAAGCGAAATTTTTGTGCCGCCCCCGCTACACAAAAAGTACCATGAAGAATCTGCTCGTGTACTGTTTCTGCAGGAAAATATCCATGATCACGGGTTCGTTGTGCCCAGTCTCATGCAGCTGCTCATCGCATCGCGCTTTTATGGAATTGGCATGTTTCGACTTTGGAGCAACTGCCTTGTCAATGTCTCGTAGCTGACCGTGTAACAAGTACGCATTCTGGCGGATGTCAACTATGGCTGCAAAAACGCTTTTTCCATACTGGTAAAACTTCCTTAAATGGCACAAACACTTTTCTAGTTATTTGGTCAGCCGTGCACGGATGCACAGCTCTTGAATTCTATCGCGAGCTGCGTCCATGTTTTTCATTTTCTCTGAAGGCACACAACGTCATCTACGTAGTAGGTACTTGTTTACAACACCCGTCAAGACGTATCCACTTCGTCGGTGAAGTTCACTTCAGTGCACTGTTCCATAATAAATGCAACTTCTTGAAAATGCCGTAAAACTGCTCAAACTATCAAATAAATCCAGTTAAATTTCATAAAAGTGAAAGAAAACAGCGAACGTTGAAGAAAGCACGGTAACACCATCAAACACAGCAAAAACGTAAAGGACATCGGTATAACAACACTTAACACTGATTCGACTGGAGTTGCAGAAAAGTGGCTGGATGAGAAACGTCAGTGCTTAAACAAACTTTTCTGCTGTTTATGTTTGGCTGGTTTCTTGCAGTAAAGCTAATTTATTGTTGCTCAAAGTAATCATTTCGTACCAAAAATTTACCTACCCTCACACCCAGGGCCTATAATTGACAAGTTAAAGACACCTTTCATATAGTGCCCTTATGACAGCTTAAGGGAGGTTTCTGAAACTCGCCTTGTACTTTTCTTATACTTTTCTCATCATCTCGTAAGTAGCCTTACCTCGGTAATTTAAAGTCAGTTCATGAATACCGTGGTAAGTGTACTAGCAGGCCACGAGAGCTATTTTGTATGTGGCTGTAACCATGTGACCACTTCAGCAAAGTAAAAATACTTTTTCTCTTTTTTTGACAGTTCTGCAGTCTTCTGTTCTAGGGCAGGGGTCTTCAACACACAGCCCACAAACCCGTGCTTATGGCTTCATATGGCTTGACATGAAAAAAAACTCCAGGCCTGCGCGGTAGGCACAGCACAGTTGCAGCGAAAGCTAGAAGAGCGGCCTTTGAGAGCCTTTTCAAAACACTCATTGGGTAACTACTGCAAGCACAAATTGCTGGTGTGAGAATCCTGATTTGCGGCCACTTCATTTTATTTTTTTTTAGCTCTGTAGGTTTTCGTGGAAAGTTTTCCGCGCGTAATTCTCGCATCCCCCAAGTTTGCACCCGTTTTCCGCCAAAAAAAGTGTGAGGATTATGCGAGTAAATACGGTAATCGCATTGTGCGACCACTGGTTGTTCTTTCGCTGTTATAAAACGCTTTATAAGTCGTATTAACGCGATTGCTTTTCCGACATCAAGCCTGCCTAAGGCAAGTTTGACAACAAGTCACAAGCACCCAAGTAGCTCACTGGTAGAATACTGGGCCGGCACCCAGCATACCTGGGTTCGAGCCCCTCTGTGCCATTGGTGCTAGGTCAGACCTGCCTAAGGCTAGTGTGACAACATGTTACAAGTACTGGCGTAACCCAGTGGTATAATATCAAGCTGGCACCCAGTGGGCCCGGGTTCAAGCCCCACTGTGTCATCGGTGCAAGGTTTTTTTTTTCTTATTTCGCACAATGTGGTTATGGACACCGATAGCGGTGGCGGTGGTGGACAACATGCAACTACGCGTGACCCGAGTTGTGATCTCGTAACAGCTTTTGCTGTAATAAACATCTATTACCGTTAATACTGCTTTATTCGTAAATAAAGGGCTGGTCTCAAGGATTCGTTTTTTTCATGAGGCACCCCATGGGAATTCCTGAGTTGAAGAATCACTGTGGAATGAAAACTGTCAGCATCTGAACCCAGATTTGAGTTATCGTCGAAATGAGCTTTTTGAAGATCGATCTCAGTTCACTGACATTGCCGGTCTTCGCTCCGCTGCTGCTCCTGTTAGATCAGGTGTCCCTCACGGGTCAACGCTTGGCCCCTTACTCTATATATGTGAAAGATCTACCATCAGGGATTATATTATTCATGCAATTATTTCCGCACGATTGCGTCCTTTCTCACCAAATAACCACCCCTGATGATCACAAAATTCTACAGGATGACCGAGCCCCGCTGCGGTGGTCTAGTGGCTAAGGTACTCGGCTGCTGACCCGCAGGCCGCGGGTCCAAATCCCGGCTGCGGCGGCTGCATTTCTGATGGAGACGAAAATGTCGTAGGCCCGTGCGCTCAGATTTGGTTGCACGTTAAAAAAACCCCAGGTGGTCGAAATTTCCGGAGCCCTCCACTACGGCGTCTCTCATAATCATATGGTGGGTTTGGGACGTTAAACCCCATAAATCAATCAAACAAGATGACCTATTTTTAGTTGAAAACTAGTGTTCAATCTAGGTGATGTCGATCAACTTTTCCAAATGTATAGTAATGCGTGTATCTCACAAGCAGTCGAATTCAGAATATGCCTACAATTTAAACTCAACGAACTTGGCATATGTCAGCAGTTACCGATACATTGGCATCTTATTTCCAACACTCTCCCATGGTCGGATCACATCACCCACTCAGTAGCTCACACATCAAAAAATTTTGATTATATGCAAAGAAATTGATGCCTATCATCTCCTGCAGTTGGTAAAATTCTGTATGTAACCTTCGTTTGTACGAAGCTAGAGTAAGCGTCCTCTATTCGGAGCGCTCACCATATCTATCTGATTAATCTGTTGAAATGCGTAGAGAATAGGGTGGCCCGGTTTATTACGTCCAATTATCGTCACTCATCAAGCATCACTTAATTAAGGAGTCTTTAGACTTGCAGAATCTAGCTGATAGGCATTTATTTCATAAGTTGTATTATTCTTTTCCTCTCTTGCATGGCTCTCTCTTACTTGCTCCCTTCCGATACTCTCGCCGACTATTTAATTCCAGCATCCTTTTCAACATTCTACGAGTCATTTTTTTCCTGTCGCCATCTAGAAATGGAACAACTTACCAGAAGCCATCATCTCAGAGCGTGACTTGTGCGCATTCAAACAGCTACTAACAGCTCAGCTAAACTTGGCAGCCCATTAAAACTGTACCACTGTCACTGTATTTTGTGCTCTTGTATGTGTAAAGTTTGTGCACGCATGTTTTTTTTTTTAGTTTGTAATAGTACATTTTTGTGCATCTGTTATCAGATCCTGCAAAACTATTGCTCTTGTATTAGTACTACTCTGTTACTTTCTTTGATCTTTTTTTGTTCCCCCATTATGTAATGCCCCTAAGGGACCCTTACGGGTCAAATAAATGATGATGATGAAACCTGACAGCAAGTTCCCTTTGACGTGTGCTCCCCCATCTTATGCTTGTGGGACAAAATTTTCTAAGTGCAGTCGGCTAAATGAGGTGAGTTTGAGAGCCATGCTCTAAGGAATCTCAAAAGTGTATTCACTGAAGAAGGACATCATTATCTCATTCGCCATTCAAAAGTTGTAGTGAACATTTCTCACTGACGGCACAACTGACGGAACACATCAGCGTGTGTTCCTTAATGGATACTGTGGCGGCATATAATGCTACTTTCATTCATAGTCTCTTGACCACACATCCTGCAGTGTGGGGATGTGCACCTTTCACTTGATCATTGTGTGTTCCTTTCAGGAATGACCTCTGTGCTTGAGCTGATGCAGCAGGGCTACCCATCGAGGGCACCCTTTTTGGACCTCTACAACATGTACAAGCAGTACCTGCCACCGGAGCTGTCTCGCCTGGACCCCCGCCTTTTTTGCAAGGTAACCACCATTTCTGATGATTTTGTTGTCAATGAGGTATGGCTGGGCAGACATAAATGTGTTCACGGTCGTGCTTTGAAACTGAACTGCTTCTGGCAACAGCACTTCCAAGAGCACTCCGATTAGCTGCAGTAAAATGAGCTATCTTATTTTTAATCGATATAGAAAAATTATTAAGGTTATATTAGAGCGAGCAAAAAAAGACCTGTTTACTAGAATACGATTCGAAGCATGAAAATGACGTGCTGGAAAGGCGGCACGGTTGTGACAAAATACTGAAGTGCCCATAACAGTGTGCTGAGCGCTGTTCTAAATCCACAACTCTGGTTGCTGACAAAACGATGCTGGTGCCTGTCAAGATGTCACCATGTCCAGTGTCAGATGCCAGGGCAGCTGTTTGTTTGCATATGCACCCCACGAGCTCCAACGGTTATCAGTGTTCATCTTCTTACAGTGTGTCCCCAAACGAGCAGTGCATCTACCACTCTAGTGAGCACAATTTTACTTTTGAAGATTGATCTGCTCAAAAAGGAATTAGTTTACCTTTTCTTTGCGAATGCTCTCACTTGCGAAGTTGTGCGTCAATTTTGTTTTTATTTTGTCACCTGTCATCATTTATGCACTGTGCTTATAACATATTCTTTTGCGCAATACAATTTTTGCTATATATATATGCTTTTTTCTTTATTAAAAATGAGTAGGAAAGTAGGGCTTGTCCGTGTCAGCTCCCTTTTCGTACACTCGTGTTTTTCTGTGTTGTTGACTTTCTTGACAATGAATGCTAAACATACAAATGTTGAATGGAAGGGAATGTGAGACATCATTGGCATGACTGAAATGCCATTACAGGGATGCAATGGCGTTCACTAGATGAGTTTCTTTTCTGCATGTACTGCTTCATTATATTGATATTGAACTGTGGGTGCATCTTCAAAATAGTAAAAGCAGTATAGCTAGTTAGGCCTGAATTTTAGATGTGCAAACTGTGAGGAAGCACGTGCACACATTGAGCGGCGAAATGGGGGAGTATGTACGTGTGATGGATAAACTTATTTCTATCGCTGAGCCCCGAGCCTCGAACGAGGAACACGTCAAAAGGGTGATCAGGTAGGCACATCTAACTTTTTCGGCATGCCTGCGCGGCGGCCGCTTCCGTGACTTGGAGGAGTTGGCCGCCGAAGCGAAGCGCATTCAAGGCGACATTCTCGCCGCACGTGCCTATCGCCTGCTGCCGCCAGCCAGCGATGCCCTTGAGCCGCGCTGCGCTTGGAGACGGGCCATGACCCTTCCCCATTGACAAGAGCCTCTAGGCCCCGCCTTTGCGGCTCCAACTGGCTATGCGTGGGAATTTAGCGATCGCGCTCTTGACCCCTTTACGCATGAAAGGCGGGCAGCCTGCGCTGCTCCACCTGACACCTTCACACAGGGATGTTTTCCGGCCCAACGTAATGTGGGAGGTGCGGCTCGCAGAAACGTATCCTGAAATAATGTAGGGAGCCGATCACGACAGCTCGAGGCTGCTCCGTCTGGGACAACACACCGTGATGGAGTGCGCTGTTACCGCTGCCGTGAACGAGGGCACATAGCAAGGGTGAGACGTCCCCCGCTACGCCACCGATCGCCAAAGAGAGGGAAGAACACTCAACCCTTTTTCTATCCGGTTCCCTCTTGGCTACGTGTCAATCACTTTCCACATACAGGGATTCGTGCTGGGGCCGGGAAGTAAGAGTCGCTACGACCTGTTTTTCTTTACTGATTCATTTAATTTAATAGCAAGTACAAATGGCGTACACACATACTGTCCGTAAACGACATCTCTGTTACACGAAATTGTAACACATCAGCAAATACTCGCGACACGCAAAACAGGATACATAAGTTAAGTAATGGTGACAGAATACAGAATAATACAGAATAAACACACGACGACACAAATGACAAAGTTATCAATGAATAAAACCACGCAATGTCTCAACAGGCCACCTCCCTTCCTGCAAAGCTAATCTAAATAGGGTGCATAAAGTTCGTCTCACGAATGGTCCGTCTTGTCAGTCTTCATCGTCTTCGTTGTCTCTCTCGGCGATTCCCATCTTAATCTTCTTTCATAACGTCCCGCAATCACTCGCTTCCTCGTTTCTCATCTCTAACTTTCATTCCTCATCGTACCGTCTTTGCCTCAGTCATAATCTCATCGATTCTCATTGCTATCTCTTCGCACCGTTATCTTCCTTTTCCATTCCGTCTTTCTACCATCTCAATCTCAACGCTCCGTCTCTCTCCGACTCTTCGCATCGTATCTCGGACTCCCAAGCTCGTCTCGTAGTCCCCTTCCGTCGCCGTCTACTTCTTTTCCTCCCCTGGGAGAGACTCTCCTCGCTTCTCCCCTTTCTTGACACGTGGCCGCTTTTCTCGGGTTCCCACCCTGCCCTACCGGGGCACCAAACCAGTCCGCCACTCCACGCGGCATATCTTTTCTTCTCAGTCGGAGTGTATTATCTTCGGCGGCCGCCCCTGTGGCCTACACCAGTAGAAAACCCTCTCCCAAACAAAGCCGAGCAAGTAACAATGTACAAACTCGAGCCTCAGGGAGAGTGATGGGCGAGCAGTCCGAAGGCACCTTAATTACGGGCGAACAATGGCCCCGATGCTTCCGGTACTTGGTGAGCCGATGTCTAGACCAAGTCTCAACGTTTTCATGCAGCTCGGTGTCTCCCGCCAAATTCTCCGTAGCCGCCGCTTCGTCGTTCACCGCCGCGGGCGGCCATCCGCGCAGAATGCAGTAATAAGCCCTGGAGCCACGGAGGTTGACGGAAAGGCATACTGGACCCGGCAAAGGCGCTTGCCGCAAAGGTCGCATTCCCCGAACCAAAAAAAGGTGTTCTGCTGCTCCCCCATGCCACAGATCTGAAGGGAGCGCGCCGATTATCTCCACCATACACTGTCACACGGTCTGTAGACAACAAGGCGCCGCCCAGTCCTCGTGTTTGCGTTGGGGAGCCTGTGAGAATAGTAGAGATAATCCTTCTGGTACTTCACTCCGGAATGCTCTTTATGCGTGGGTTTGAGAAAGGAGCGTAGACATCCGGGTTCAGTCCGTGTTTGCGGGGACGTCACAAGGGAATGCACCGGATCCAGGCCTCCTGGGAGGCAGGGAAACGGGTTTTCCGGGTCATTCGTGAATGCACGAGTGACCCAACCCTTGCTTCTTTTTTCTGGGTGCAGGGCAAGCACTTTTCTTGCTGATACGCACGCGCCGTTCATTCCGGTCACCATTGCCGGCAGTGAATTTTCGGCTTGCTGGACACGGGCTCTAGCGCCTCGTTGTTCGGCAGCCAAGTGTTGTCCCACTTGCAGAAGCACTCAGTGCACTTGCGGGACAGCCGAACGACATTCACCCTTGCGAAAGGCGTGGCCCATTCGGCAGGTGCTGCAATGTTGACTGTCAAATGGGGAGATCGAATGAGACGCTGCCTTCTTGTTCATCTTCTAGGGCTCAATGTTCCAGTGATTCTCAGTCGGGACTTTCTCCTTAAAACAGGTATCGTTGTGTACATTGTGAATGGCGGCTATCCTGATGGCCCTTTTTGCCAACTCAAGCCGTTCATCAGCCCTTCGGCGCTTACCGTTGCCTTTGCCACAGAAGCATCAGAAACGTGCCTTGCGCAGAGCTCAAGGCCAAGCCCCTGCTCAACGCATTTGCCCTCTCACAGTCCCCTTCGGGAATGAGAGGTGCGGCACGAACCGTGTCGTGCGCCAACTCCGGGTTCGTACCCTGGCGTTCCGCTCTCATCGGCTCGAAACCCCTCTGTGGATCGACCGACATGACAGGAAGAGGCACTACTTTTTTTGGTCGCCTGCGCAACTGAGTTGGATGATGCACAGAAAGCTCGTCTGTTAACACTGTTACGTCAGTACGACGAGCTCTTCACCGACCAACCTGGCTGCACCGATTTAGTGAGCCATGTGATCGAAACTGGTGACGCGCTTCCTTTGAAGTGTAACCCCAGGCTCGTCAGTCTCGCCAAAAGGCAGAATAATTATTGATGGATTGCTAGATGACATGCTTGCGGCTGGCATTATTCGCCGGTAGTCTAGCTCCTGGGCATCTCCAATTGTGTTGATGCCTAAGAAAGATGGCAGTTATCGCCTTTGCGTCAACTATCGCCGCCTGAATGGAGTGACTCGTAAGGATGCCTATCCGCTCCCCACGATAAACTCTATCGTAGGTAACCTGGGTGATGCACGGTACTTTACCACGCTTGACGCCTCTAAACGTCACCTACAGGTCCGGATGGGTAACCGTGACCAGTGTAAAACTGCGTTGACGTCCCACAGAGGGTTCTTCGAGTTTACTCGTGTGCCCTTTGGTCTTTGCAATGCTCCTGCGACGTTTCAAAGACTCATGGACCGCGTCCTCGGGGAAGCAAAGTGGTCATACTGCATGTGCTACCTCGACGTCATCGTGATTTATTCACGAACCTTCGAAGAGCACTTGGCCCATGTTGCCGATGTACTCGAGGGGGTGAGGACCACCGGGATGACAATAAATCCCGCTAAGGTCCAATTAGCGCAGACCCGTGTTCAGTTACTCAGGTTTACGCTTGGTGAAGGCTCCATAGAGCCGGATCAAGACGAACTTCGAGCTATTCTCCATTTTCCCATGCCCAAAGACGTACGTGGCCTTCGCCGCTTTTTAGGAATGGTCAACTTTTACCGTTCCTTCATTCTGTCCTGTGCCCGACTGCAGGCGCCCTTGAGCAAACTCTTGGGTAAGTCTGCTGAGTTGCAATGGGGACTTGAGCAGCAGGAGGCGTTTTGCCGACTGTCTAACGCCGTAGCGGAGACAGCGCAGCTCATGCTCACCGACCTGACCAGACCATTTGTTGTACAAACTGATGCGAGTGACCTAAGTTTAGGAGCTGTTCTCCTACAGGAATACGATGGCGTGTTGCAGCCGTTGGCCTTTGCCAGCCGCTCCTTGGTCTCTGCGGAGAAAAATTTTTCCGTGACCGAAAAGGAGTGCCTCGCCGTTGTGTTTGCACTGCGGAAGTTTGACGTCTATCTTGATGGGACGAAATTCGTGGTGCAAACGGATCACAGTGCGCTCAGCTGGCTGATGCGGCTCTGTGAGCCTGCCGGCAGGCTGGTGCGCTGGGCTCTCCTGATACAGCACTATGACTTTTCAGTGCAGTATCGAAAGGGGAGCTCCAACGTGGTAGCTGACGCGCCATCTCGTGCCCCATTGTCGGCCGAGGACCTTGATCCAGGTGCGACAGCCGCTAGCGGTGCCTTAGCACATGCAAGCGTCGGGGGCGAAACAGCAGCTTCGCCGTCATTCGGCGAGAAGGGTGAGTCCCCATGCGAAACCTTGGCTGCTAACCAGGTAAGCGGCGCACCGCGATGCGGCCGAGCGAGAGAGCTTTCCGAAGGCCACGAGGCTGAGAGCGAACCCGTGACGCCGACTCAAGCAGTTGTTGCTGCGGTCCTGAGTGGAGTGGGCGCGATACCAGACTCCCCAATTTTGGGAGAATGGGCATCGCTTTCAGCAGAGAAGAGCTTTTGAAGGCCCGGCAAAGTGACTCGTTTTGTCACGAAATGTGCGACGGGGTCTCGGAGAGATAAAGTGCCGTGACGCTGCTTGTCCTGCGGTGAGCGCCGATAGCGACTGTCTCAACGAGACAGAGCGCCATGACGCTGCTTGCCCTGCAGCGGGCGCGAATAGGCGGGTTCGAACCAGCGTGTGTTGCTGAGTATTCGGCTGATTCATATTTGCTGGACCATGACGGGCTCCTGCTGAAGTATATAGCCACTGACGACGAGTCCATCGACCCGTTTAAAGTAGTTATGCCTAAAAGTCTGAGAGCCGCACTGTTGCGATCCTCTCACGACGAACCCATGGCCAGTCACCTGAGTGGCTCGAAAGTTTTTGCAAAACTTAGCCGCGTTGTGACCTGGCCCAGCATGAAGCGAGACATTTTTCGCTATTGCCGTTCTTGCCGCGTCTGTCAAACGGTGAAATGAAGGGGTGGCAAACCGCCCGGTCTGATGAAACCGATTGTCAGTGAGCGGCCGTGGCAAGTGGCCACCTGCGATCTAATGGGACCATTTCCCAGAAGTAAGCAGGGGTTCATTCACCTGATGGTAGTCGTTGATCACTTTTCGAAATGGGTGAAATTGTTCCCTCTTCGGATGGTGACAGCGCAAGCGGTGCTTGAGAAGCTGCAGGAAATGTTTTGCCGGTTCGGCTTCCCAGAAAGGCTCATCACTGACAATGCTTCGTATTTCACCGCTCGGGTGTTTGGTGTCACGTGCCGTTCCCTCGGAATTGATCACTGCACCACTTCACCTTACCATCCCCAGTCCAATTTGACGGAATGTGTCAATCGTGCGCTCAAACCGATGTTGGCGGACTTTGCCGAAAGTCAAAGGAACTGGACAGATCATTTGAGTGAGCGCGCGTTCGCTATTCGAATATCCGAGAGTCGCTCAACTGGTTTCGCCCGCTTTCTTAAATTTTGGAAGAGAGTTGGCAAATCCGGTGACCAGCGTCACTCAATGCCAGCTTGAGGACGAGGAGACGCCGGCAGACTGCTCTGCTTACGCGTTGACACTTTGGGACAGGCTTTGTCGAGCTTTCTGCAAAGCAAGGCAAAGTCGGCCAGGGCTCAGCAGAAGGCCCAATATGACCGCAAGCATCGCGACCTAGTTTTTGAGGTGGGTGATCTTGTCCTGAAGTGTAACCACGCTCTTAGAGATGCCAGTAAGGGGTTCTCAACCTCGCTCACTCCTAAGTGGCTTGGTCCGTACCGAGTGGAGAAAGCTTGCACTTCTCTCGCGTACTTGCTGAAAGATCCCCATACGGGAAAACTCAGCAGTGCCCATATCACAGGCCTGAAACCCTTTGTCTCACAGTCTGACGAGATCGCACCAGGGCCCTGAGGCACTTCGTGCAAGCAACGGGGCACACCCGGAGCGGGGGACCGCATTCGGACCCTGCACCGGTATAATCTGAGGAAGCGGTCACCTTTGTGATTTCGCGCCGAACGGCGGACTTCTCCGCAACCGAAGGCCCTCAGTTTACTATTAAGCCTCAGTATAGGTTAGCTTCTTTACGACCTTTTCTCGTAAAGAAGTTGACCCTGCCCTCTTTGCTGCGAGTGTTTCTTTTTAAAGTGTTCCTGTGTATTTTAAATTTTATGCTTCTTTGTTATAATAATAAACGTTGCGACTTTGAGCAGTATCGTGTTCACGCCATGGCGACGGGTAGCGCGTGCCCTGCGGCTCGCTAAGACCGGACCCACGCTAGTGGCCGCACTCCTTCGAGATACGTGTCACTACAACATGCTTCCTTTCCCTTTACGGCAATCTAGCTGCGAGGACAAGTCAGTTCCTTCAAGGCAGAGACAATGAAGCCTCTTTAAGCAGGCCATTCACCCCACGGCTAGTGAGTGCTATTCCCCATTCTTGGCTCGTGAAACAGGTTACTCAGCAGCCCTTCCTGGGGAGAGGGAAACCAGGAGGTTGGACAAAGCTAGCGTGCTGACAGCAAGATGCTCTATTTTGCACCAATGACTGATATACTGATATAGCAAACATTAAAATGCAATATATGTTATAAGTTATCACTTGCATTCTACCAAAAGTCAAATTCTGCTACTATTCAATGTTAATTTCCACTTCCTTTGAAACGAAAAATGGCTTTTGCACAGGTCTCGTTCCAATTTAAGAACAAAATTGTTTAGGTTAGTTTAGTCACGACAAGTATGCCCCTTTTTTTATAATATGCAATATATATACCATTCAAATTTGTTGAAAATTATTTGACCAGAATTGCTATTCACGTTGAATTTAATATTCACGCAAGCCTAATATTTTGCCAGTGACTTGGCAGAATCTGACCATAGTTGGTTAATAAACGGGGCAAGCGCACATAATGTTCACGCCATAGTAGCAATAGTGTTGCCATGCCTACCCTATTGATGCAATCATATGCGACCAAATCATCACGATCACACTTTGCACCCTGCTGTGCTTTGCATTAGCTTATTATAATGAATATTCGAACCATTGATGGCTATATGTATGTGGATAGGCTCGCTCATGGCTTGGGTTATTTCCCACCAGGCCCTGTTCAAGGCCCTGGGTCTAAATGAGAAGGACTTCAAGTTTGGCCTGACCAAGGTGTTCTTCCGGCCTGGCAAATTTGCCGAGTTTGACCAGATTATGAAGTCTGACCCGGAAAACCTAGCCCAACTTGTGTGCAAGGTGCAGAAATGGCTCCTGGCTTCAAGGTGGAAGAAAGCCCAGTGGTGTGCACTGGCTGTCATCAAACGTGAGCACTATTGCCCCCTGTTTTTAAATGTGAAGCATTTCTTTTGCATACTGCTAGCACTTTTGGTGTCTATCTATCTATCTATCTAGCTGCTTACGTCTACCTCCTCTCGTGATCATTCCCTTTAATTGGTGTCAACCAAAATTAGTATGGGAGGATGAGATAGTTTGACAAATATAACGCACTGGTAAAGACATGAATAATATCACAATCTCATCGCGTACTCGTCAAACTTTCCGCCAGATAGTGGCAAATACCCACGGGCAGGTATGTGCCACTGGTGTTGCGAGTATGTGCCACAGGTGATTGACACCTAGTACAGTAAAATTTGTGAAGATGCTGACACCTCCTGTAAAGTTGTTAGCGCTGCGTGGCACACATGTCTCGCCCAAAAGCCACATTACAAGTTACAACTACAGGTGGTAGGTGGTGGAGTGTTCGCGAGCGTTGATCACCACTATCATTATCATCATGGTATAGCGCCGGCGGCGACAAGCCTTGGTAGCGGTGAGTGAGAAATAAGCTAGGCTCTTTGGCTGGTGGCGTTTGGCGTGAACGGTTGCTCTCGCGACATGTCCCCGGAGCACGGCACTGCGCGCCATGTGCCGGGGGCTCGCGCTGTGAGTCAAGCGTTGGCGATGCCGCCTTCGGTGTGTTATTGTGTTTGTCATGTTTTGGAGCGTAGGCTAATATTGTGTAAGGATGTCCTAGCATGTTGATCACGGTTTATGTTATAATTCGGCGGACGATATCGTCGTTCTAAAATTAGTTAAATAAATGTATGTTGTTTGGTTTGTACCGACTGCGTCTGCTGTGTCCGTTCACTCCAAGAGCGTGGTGGCGATTACCACCTCTAGACCCCACAAATTATAGTATCTAGAAAGGTTTTCTAGTGTGATGAACGGGCGCCTTCTCAAGCGGCGCAAGAAAACCAGATTCTATGCACTGTGACATGGCACTTTGTGTTGCTGGCAAGTGATGGGGGAGGTTGACAACGGGGTGCAGCTGGCGGCAGTGATACTGCATCTCCGCCACAAAACTGCTTCCCGAAACACTCATTTTAGACGTACATATTATCGCGAATTATCTTCGTGGCAGGGATAAAAAGAAATGAAAATAATTTTTACTATTAATGTAGCCTTCTACAGATGCACAAACTAGGAGATGATCGACATATTTTTGCCACGCGCACATAATTTCAGTTGTCTTGGGATAGCATCTGCCTCGCAATGCAGTTTTACCACTACTTTTTCCCCCCAATTAAGATGGAGGTTTCAGCTGGCAAAGCCTGGAAGGATCAACAAGTCAACAAGTCAACAAGTAACTGCCAGACCAGAAAAGCAACAACGAAAAAATAAAAGTATGCAACAGAGTACTCACTTTTTTTTTAGAGCTGTCTGTACAAATTACTGTTAATTTGGTTAACATGCTCGCTTTATTGTGCTCTCTATGCACGCAGAAAGCAGCTACGACAAAGTTTTTTGAAAATCAGCATGTCATTTGCTTACCGTAATTACTCGAATCTAACGCGCACCTTTTTTCCGGTTAAGCGAGTTCATAAATCGCATGCGCGTTAGAATCGAGTACGAACAAAAAATTACGGTCAATCTATTGCCATCGCAAATCCAAAATGGCCGCCCCCTACGTGCGTCGGCATGGTGCGTCGGCTATTTCTGCCTATGTCTTTACCATGTGCGGCACTTCGTACGTGTGCTGAGGAGTTCGTCATCTAGTAGTGCATTAGCATCGACGACGTGAAAGGGCCGACTCCAAAAACTCAAGTGCACCACGATGCCGCTTTTAAAAGAAAAGTCATCGCGTGTGCAGAAACGGACGGAAGTCGGGCCGCATCGCGGTCGTTCCCGAAACGTGCGTGCGGGACCGGCGGAAACAAAAGCAGAAGATTGTCGACAGCAAAGCTTCACGCAAAGGCTTCAGTGAACCACAGCAGGGTCGTTTTCCGCAAATTAAAGAGCTGCTCCGCGAGTATGTGCTTGAGGAGCGAGCGGCACAGCGGCCTGTGACGACAGAACTGCTCCAAGTGCGGGCTATGCAATTAGTCTTAGAAAAAAGTCTAATGCGGAGCCAGTTTAAAGCGAGCAGGTGCTGGCTAATTAACTATATGAAGAGGAAAAGCTCTTCCCTTCGAAGGGGAACATGCATATGCGAAAACTTTTGCGGAGAAGTACGATGAAAAGCTTTACAGTTTTCAAAGGTTCGTCCTTAACTTGCGGCGCAACAACGGCTACCTGCTTGGGCAAATCTGGAATGCCGATCAGACGCCTCTTTACTTCGACATGCCTGGCACCACAACTGTCGAGAAGAAGGGGGCAAAGCAAGTTCGCGTGCTGACATCGGTCCACGGTAAAACTACAGTGACGGCAATGCTCTGTTACACGTCAGATGGGCACAAGCTTCGCCCGTACCTCATATTTAGATGGAAGACAATCCCGAAAGGAATCGTTTTTTCGAGTGGTGTGATCGTGCGGGCCAGCGAAAAAAAAATGGGTGCGCGTTGCAATCGATGTCTTACGTTTTTTTTTTTTTTTTCGCGGTGGAAATCGGGTGCGCGTTACAATCGAGGGCGCGGTAGAATCGAGTAAATACGGTAATTGTGTGCTGGTGGAAGGGGGGAAGGGGACAGCTGCCCCCACTAAGTGGAAAGAGGGGGCGCTAAGTCTGCCCCATACATTAGATTGATCAAGAGGGAAGCTGCTGTGATGAACCTCTGCCCTCTTCCAAGGTGTATTTTTCAGCTGGCGAAGGCTGGAATGGTCATAGTGACTGCCGGACGGATAAAACAACAAGGAAAAAAAAGTACACAGACAATCAACAGGCAGCAACTTTTTTTTTTTTCTACTCAGTTGTCTGTGCCAATTGTCTATTTGGGAAACGCACCCGCTTTATTGTGTTCTTCTGCGTACGCAGAAAAGAGCAGCGAGAAATTTCTTTGAAAACCAGCATGTGAAGCTTAGGTCATACATGGAAGGGGAGTGGCTTCTTAATATTGTTACCAATAAATATAACGCCTGGTACTATAAAAACTATTCATTTAGAGTGAACTTGTGCTTGTAAACTCAAAACTAAATGGTCGGCCAAAATTGTCCCTTGCTCGCTGTCTCGAACTTCATCGGTCTCGTCTTCTTCACCCCTCGAGTTTCGTGTCGGTCCCGTGGCATAGCATCGTAGCGCATTCTAGACGGCGTTCTATGGCACAGTTTTCTTGACAGTTGTATGGCGGCTTTTATGAACGCGAATTGTTGCTCGCGTCTTCTGCGACTGTCGAACTGTGGCATTAGTCCCCCTCCTGACAGTACCCGACATGCCCGACAGTGGGCCTGGTGGCTGCGGTAGCTTCTGGCTGGCTCCGTAGACTGTCAAAGCTAGGGGTCGAGTGAAGCAGGCCGCTCCGACCCTTGACCTGTGCCAGGCTTTCGGGGCAAACCATGACCATGACGCTTGCGAACCGACTTCACCCTGCTTTTTGCCCCACCGAACTAAGACCTTCTTGCCAACTGCGGTGGCACTCCTCGAGTCGACCCGTCGGCTTCCCGTTGGGGCTTTCTGGGTTGCCGTGTTGACAAATTATTGGCCCCTGAAATCTACGTAGTGAATTTTTATTGAGCCACTTGCACGTCGATACCTTGCACCGTGCAATCTCACACTCGACCTTACTTTCACGTTGTCTTTATATCAGCCCGCACTCGCGTACATCGTTCTCTGTTGGCAACTCAGAGGCGCACATTTTTAAATGCTCACCACACATCACAATACGTTAAAAAAACGACACGAGCAGATGCACCAGCAGCAGCGGCAACAGATTCAGCCGGCAGCACTTAAGCGAGACACGTTAGGGCGTACCTACTTGCTGCTGCACCTTTTTCTACTTTCGGTGTTTACAGCGATCGTAATCTAAGTTAGAGCTGAACGGGTCTTTTTTAAGGCCATGAGCTTTGTCATGCTGCGCGGGTAGTTCGCAATTGCACCAACGCCTTAGCCGCCATCTTGGGTGTACTTCTGGTTGTTTACATCAGGACTTACTGTACTCCTGACCTGCCGAGATGGCAGTGTTCCTATGGGAGCGCGTGTCCCCGTTCTCATTCAACCGCTCACCGTTGGTGGCGCTACCTGTTTATCTGCCGCTCTACGGTTGTTTCGATGGTGCTGGAGTAAGAATGCCTACATTCTTCGATGAACTGCTGGCATATATGTAACTATTTCTTCACTTAGACGGCTAGTCAAGTAAGCTGTTCAGTGCGGGTAAATATATATTCCATTCTGGTTGACAAACGAGGGACTCGTAGACTTACATAGTGTAGGACAGCCTATGAGGTGTTGCGTCCATGTAATTGCAAAAAATTTCTGAATGACTTTTAGTATATTCTCAAACCTCGTTATAATGTAATGGGATATAATGAAATAATGGATATAACGAAGTAAATGAAATTCCCCTTGAAAGCTTCATTGAGAACCATGCATTGTAAACCTAGTTGTAACGAAGTAAAATTGACCGGTAAATGGACATAACGAACTAAATTGGTCTATCAAATAGTCTATAAAAAATGCCGCCATATCCACGAAGTGAATGATGATGAGTGGGCGAAGCACCGGAGGTAAACCTGGTAAACCATGAATCCTCCGTACATTTTGCCCACTCGATTTTATTGCAACGCTCCCCCTAGCGTACGTCGCCGCACTATATCGAACGATGACACGCGCCATATGTGGCATCATTCCTATTTTATAACACCTCGCATCTTTCATAATCAACTACACGTACCGCCGTCTAGTTTATAACATCTTGCATCTTTTGGACGGACGGACGGACGGACGGACGGATGGACGGATGGACGGATGGATATGGCTGTACCCTTTAGATCGGGCGGTGGCTAGCGTAATACTTGGAACTGAACGAGAGGTGGCTACATACAGGGGACGCACAGCCCACGCCTTAAGGAGCTTCGCTCCTAAAAACCGACCGCAGTGTGTTGAGCATATCG